GTTTTCCCCCCCTCTCAAATTCCAAAGAGGAAAAGCCGGATTTTTTTTTTTTCAAAACCCCTTTCCCCCCCCCCCCCCCCCCCAGCAACGCCGCTTACCTCTCCCTTGCCAACCTTGTCATTTTTTGCTCTTGTCCCCACCGCGACTCTTCAACGGCAACACCCTTACCACCCAAACGCGAACGGCTTGCTCCTCGACGGTGGGGACCCTCGCCCCCCCCCCACACTAACGCCGCTCACCTTTCCCTTCCCAAATGGTGTCCTTTTTTTTCGTTCTTGTCCCCACCGCGGCGACACACCCTCTCCACCAAACTGCTTGCTTCTCGGCGGGCGGGGAGCAGTCGCAAGAGACAGCGATCTCGCGCGATGGTGGCCGCGGTGGTCTCTCTAGTCCTGGCGCTGGCCTTCCTGCCGATCATCCTGACCGGACCCTCGGATCCCGCCACGCCGATGCCGCCCATGCCTGCGACACCGCCGGATGACCTTGACAGCGGCGGCGGCGTCGCCGACCCCGGCAGAGAAAAGCCTGCACCACCAGCAGCATCGGCGTCGGGCGTCGCCCGTAGAGTAGAACTCGCCGCCGCCGCAGTAGCAGGCCGCGGCAGCAGCAGCAGCAGTAGCAGCAGCGCCAGTTACTCAGACAACCATGAGTCCCGACAAGGGTTTGATGGACAACAGAGTTGGAGGAGGGAGCAGGAGGAGGGGGGCGGGGGTGGGTGGGCGGGGGGAGGAGATTCGGGTGTGCCGGAGGACCTCTCCGCTGGGCGCGCTGCGGGAGGGGGAGCAACGGGTGTTGTAGCGGAAGGGGAAGGGGGAAAGTTGAGGGACGGGAGAAATCGCTGCTTCGTGGGGGCGGAGGGAGACCACCGCTGCTACCCCACCGTGTTCTTTTTCGGGACGTCTAAGTGCGGTGAGGAGGCACGGGCTGCTGGTTGCTTGTTTTTTTCGGGTGTGGCAGGTGCTGTTTGTTCTACTATAGTACTCTGCCGTAGCTGTTTTTGCGACGCGAGGCCCGGCTGCAGGTTGCTTGTTTTTTTGTTGGGATTATCAACTGTTGTTAGTTCTACTACCACTACTGTCGCTGTTTGTTGGTATTTGTATTCTTTGTTTTAGGCTGTTTGTCGCGTGCGCCCCCACTCGGTCGGGTGTTGGTGGAACCATCTCGCACATCCGTCTCAATTTCTGTCTTATTTTTATCCTTATGTTTTTTGTATCTGGTAGACCGCACCAACCTAACCTCCGAACTAAATTAATCATCCTTGCCTCCATCCACCCTTTCACCTGACCCTACCCCCCCCTCCCACCCTATTTTCCGTCATCCCAGTTATTAAGCGCCACTCACAGTTTCTCCTCACCGTACGGTCTTGTCCATGTACCTGAGGAACTCCGATCCCTGCTGAAGAGAATGACCCCCTTGCCCTAAGTATAACGTGAATCCTCAGTTCAAAAAATGACCCACTTGCTCTCCCTCACTTTCAAAACCTTGGACTTCCTACACTACCACACGCCGTGTCTGACCTGGCTGGCTGTATGACGGGCGACGTGCATGCCTTCATTAAAACGAAGTTTCTCTGTCCCCCACGCACACCTTTAGTTGAATAACTTTCCCACTTGCCCTTCCTCAGTTCAAAACCTCACAAACCCTACATCACATCCGAACGTCTCTATCCTGTCTCGCTCTTCAGGGAGAACATAAATACCTTCCCTAAAAGGATAGCCCTCTGTCCCTCACGCAAAACCTCAGATCAAACCTTTTCCCCGCTTGCCCTCCCTCAATTTCAGAACCTGAAACTCCCTACGTTACCACGCGTCGCGTCTATCGTGTCTATCCGGGCTGTATCTTCATAGGAATAACATGCAGTTTAAGTATTGTCCTCTCTGCCGCTCACGCGAAACCTCAGCTCGAATGTTTCGCACTTCTCCTCCCTTCACTTCAAAACCTCAAAAACCGTAAATTACAACCAACGCGTCGTCTCTAAGCTGACGGGCCCTTCAGGGACGACATGCACACCTTCGGTAAAAGAATGGCCCTCTGTCCCTCCCGCGAAAGCTCAGGTCAAACATTGTCCCCCGCTTGCCACCCCTCACTTCAAAACCTCACAATCCCTACATTGCCACACGTCGTGTCTAACCTCTACCCTGGCTAGCTCTCAATAGAACCAACATGCGGTTTCATGGCGGCCTCTCTGTCCCTCACGCGAAGCCTCGGGTCAAGAATTTTCCCCACTTACCCTCCCTCACTTCAAAAACCTCAAAACCTCTACACTGCCACACGACGTCTGTAACCTGGTTGGGCTCTTGAGGGAATAACGTACACACCTTCGGTAAAAGAATATCTCTCCGTCCCTCACGCAAACCTTTAGTTGAATAATTTCCTACGTTTTCCCCTCTCTCACTTTCAAACCCCTTACACTACCGAAACGCGATCTCTAACCTGCCTGCCTGCCTCTCCAGGGACAACGTCTCTCGCGAGATGGCTGGACCACCACCCCGCCACGCACTGGGTGGCCAACCCCCGCAGGCCGCACCAGATCGAGGAGACGGGGGTGAAGGAGGCGCACGTGTTCGACGACCCCCCGAAGGGCGACCCGGCGTTCGAGGAGGTGTGAACGAAAAAAAAACAAAATCACAATTGAGCTTACAAACAAACAAGTAATATTTAGTAATGGTTGTAGCGGCAGCGGGCGAACGAAGAGAGGAGACGAAGGATAAAAAACAACACACCACGCTGCTGCTGTCTGCGTGGCATGTACACAATGTCAACAACACTTGTCTCGACTAGGATCGGGGTCTAATCGATTGCATATGTTGGCTCGGCGTGGGTCGGCGCCCACCCATCCACACGCGTAGGGGGGGGGTGAGCACCTTTGCAGGTGTTGCTGCAGCAAGCAACGCGTCCCCTTTGTGCTTTTTCTTCGAGTCCCCGTTTTTCTTTTGTTATGCATACCACGGCATCAATCGCGAGTAAACTACCATCGGCTGGCATCTCATACATGCACATGCGGGTGAAAAATAAGTGGTTTCCTCTTTCTTTTATTCTTTTGTTTGGGAGGACGGCTCCGCGGTCCTGTTGTTGCCTCTAATTTGTTTCTGAAACCTGTGGTCGACAATCCCACATGATCACGACAACAACGGACTAATGAACCCCCGTGATGTCATACTTTCCATACCTCCCCCCCCCCGTTTTCAGGGAATGCATCACGAAAAATTATTCATCACGACGCCCAAGTCGGGCGCGGAAGACGTTGTCATCGACTGTGAGTGCCCCGGAGATTCATGCGGAGGGGGGCGTAGTTTTCGAATCCCGTCCCGCTGAAGCGAAGCACGCCGTCCGTGCACCCAACCATCTCTCTCGTGTTAAATTTTGCGTGCTGTACTATTCGCGTGCTACGAGTACCGTAGTTTCATCCGAATTGGTTCATTTCGTCTTGTCGAACGCGTGCTAGCACCGGGCTTTGGTCTATCTACCCTCGACGTCATGACTATTTGTGTTTGACGAGAACAAAGGTGGTTCAAGCGTCTAATAAGTAAGACCATGGTTTCTTTTCCACCACACTTGCGGGTGCGGACGTTGTGCGGAGTGTCGTCTTTTTTTTTTTTTTCGTGCATGCTTTGGCACAAGGTCTCGGGACTCCATCGTAGTCCCGTGCCCCAAGCACTCGCTACGTGGAATGCCACACTACACACATCGCGAGGGATGCCACGTTTCCGGCCGTGTGCATCCGCACCACCTGATCTCAGCGCTGAACATACTCGACACCCTACAAGTGCGTGCCGCCTCGTACGCCATAATGCCCTTCCGCAACCGCAGACTAGCTTCGTCATGTCAACGCCGCACGACTCTTGATCCGCAACGAAGGCACCTCAATTGCGCCGCATTTCAATTGCGCCGCATTTTTTTTTTTCCTCGTTCTCGACGACACCCTCTACCAGTGCGTGCCACCTGGTACGCCATTTGCCCTTGCGCAACAACAGCAGACTAGCCTCGCCGTCTCAACGCCGCACCGCAGCAAAGGCCCCTCAATTGCACCGCTTTTTTCTTCTTCTCTTGAACGCCAGACACGCCTCACTACATCGCGGTGGCGGAGACCCCCCACCGTATCGCGGACATCTACGGGGGCAGAGAGTCCGGGCTGAAGTTTATCGTGACGCTCAGGGAGCCGGCGGGCCGGGCCATCAGCTCCTGGGAGTTTAAGAACGAGTACAACCCGAAGAAAGGACGTGAGTCTTAAACGTCTCAAAACATCATGACTGGATGTTGTGCTGGCCCGTGTGTGTGCGATTGTTGCCCTATTTAAGTTTGTTTTTTGGTCTTTCTTTGACCAAAAACCACGCACACCTTGCAAGTTAGAGGAACCTGTTCATAAGTTGGGGACGACGCGAATACATCCCCGCGGGCGAACTGCTGTTATATTTTTTTTTGTGCTTTTTTTCTGCACTGCTGCCGGTCGGGTGCTTGTATGTTGTCCCGCCGTCGGGGTAATTCGATTTCCGAGAAGGAGCTTGGATTGCGTTGTAATCCTTCGTGATACTGGCCAATAGGTATGGCGACGATGATTGTCTTTTCATGGTGGTTGAGGTAACGAGTCGCATGGCGTCTAAGCGTTGGCGACGCCGCCGACGGTAGTAATAGCAGAGCAGCTCACCACACAAACACGGCAACACGCGTTTGTTTTCGCCGAGGTTATCAAGTGTTGATGGCGTGATTGTTTCAACGGAATGCCTGTTCGCCGCGTCTGCTACCCCCGTAATCTCGCTGCCGTCAACACCAGGCCGAGAGGAGTCGCGATCTCTGGCCAAGACAATTGAGGACGGGGGGCGACGCGCGATGAAGCTTCACGCCTGCCTAGCCCTCGCCAAGTCCAAGGCTGTCAGCCCCCGGGATCGCGACTTGAAGCTGTGAGTCTCTTGTGGCGTTTTGGCGTGCGGACTTGTTGCGGGTCCCAGCCTGCCGTTTCGTAGCAGTAGTCTGGAGGCTTGTGCCGAAAAGCTCGCAGTGTGAGACTTGCAGCGGGCATGGCACGAATGATGCTCGATGCGCAGTCTAAGATAAAGGTTTTCGCCCGGAGCAACTTTTTAAAGGTATGCAACAGAAGATGTCTGCTCGTTTGTCGACTCTTTGCCCTTGTGACAGGATTTTGCCGTGTGTTCTCTACCACACAAGATAGCTTCTCTTCCATACAAAGCAAGATGAACAGTCAAGGTCTGGGGAAGCCAAAGCGCCCCCCCCCCTCCCTTCACCCTGATTTATTGAAACTGAGCCCCCGCCCCACCTACGCGCACTCTTCCGACCGCCGTTTCTTCTTGTCCCGTCCTTGTCCGAACAGCTGCAACCCCCGCAAGTTTTTGGAGGTCCCTCTGTACGTTTCGCATGTCGGGAAGAGCATGTACGCCTTGCAGCTAGAGCGGTGGTTTGACCTCTTCGGCCGAGAGAACTTCAAGGTCAGGGGGCTCCGTGCGTGTGTGTGTGTGTGTGGGGGGGGTAATATTTTTGGGCTGCTTTCGCGAGAAAATGAATGTTTGAGGAAATTGAACAGGCAGGGAGGGGGTACGCAGACCGTAACCGTAACCGTAACCCTAACCCTAACCCTAACCCCCCGATTGATGGCATGCTTTTCCCCACATGTTTCTTTGAATAGAAACACCCTGCGAAGTCTACTGATTTTGTTGTGACCAGTAGAGCTCTCAAGCTACGGAGGTTGGGGTGTGTGGTGGGCAATGGGCGGTTGGGGAGTGTGGCGACGGGGGTATCGATTTTTCTTTTTGCCGGTAAGAGTGGTAAGTTAGAATGGTAACCCTGCTCGGCTGCTTGCTTTTCCTGTTGCGACGGGACACGGGTTTTCGTGTCTTGGCGTGGTGGCAAGGGCCACGAGTGAGAGAGCGTTTGTGGGTGCCAGGCCGGAAGCGGGGACGGATGTCTTCCCAACGGCACGATGACGCTTTTTTGTGTGGGTTTGGCTTTTCTGCAAGAGGAGCTTGCGGTGCCGTGCCTTCCAACTGCCCCCCTCCGCATATTTTGTTGGATGTTCCTAGCTAGTGCCGTGTAGTCGCGGTGATCATGTGTTTTGTGCGACATTGTTGTGGCCGGCCCCCCACGACATGATCTTCTCGTGTGCGAGCATTCCCGAAAGTTTGTCGATTCGCTTACCTGTGGTGTGGGTTTGCGTTGTTGTTGTTGTTGTTGTTGTTGTTTGGTGGTGGTGGTGGTGGTGGTGGTAGTGCTACCTCTGCTGCCCGGTAGACGTTAGTTCAGTGTCGTCGTCATCCTCATCCTCGTCGTCGTTGTCGGTGTTTGCTGCCTGCAGGTTGTGTTCACGGATGACATGGCCGTCGACCCCGTAGGAGTTCTCGAGGACGTGCTACACTTCCTGGGGCTAGAGCTCACCAGCGAGGACGAGTCCAAGGTAAAAGTCCGCCAAGCACGTGCAGTAGAGGTCCCTGTTTAGTGCCGGTTGAATAGTGCCGGTGCCCGGTATAGTGCCAAACGGTGTTTTCTGCGGGCACACACTGATTGTCCAAGTCATTCTCAATACTTTTAAATATGTACTCCCCAAACCTGATAATCCCCAAACCGGAACATACTATGTACTCCCCAAAGCTGAAAATCCCGAAACCTGAACAATAATGAATTCAACAACACCCCCATATATATTTTTAATGATGGTAGATAGTATTCACCATCGAAAAAGAGAAGAAGAAAACAATTTGGGTGTGTTTGTATTGCCGGTCCGGTAAGTGCGGGTGAGGTTTCAGGGCACATATCGGCATTGAACAGGGACCTGTACTGTGTCGGCAACAACAAGAGCAGCAGCAGCATACGCAACGATAAGGAGGCGAAGAGGTCTCGTTCGACGCCTGATGTAGCCGGCAGCATTGTGCGACAGAATTTACACAGTTTCGAAGTTCCCCACTGATGAATATCTGGGTTGGAGAATGGGCGTAGCATGAACGGTAGGCGTACGTGGTATGAAGCAGAAGAAGCTCCTTTCGACCTTTGCGGCTTCAGCAGGTGCTTGCAACGCGACGGATCACACCCATTCCCACATGTGCAACCATGAACTACACAATAGTCGTCCACGCGTGCACGAGATGACCTGCTGTGTGAAATGACAACTGTCTCTTTTTTTTTTGGTTGGTGCATTCTGCAGGGATTGCCGGACATGAAGGGGTGGAAAAAGATCACCGGTATGGCGTACAACAAGACCAAATCTAAGAAGAAGGACGAGCTGGGTGACCAGGTAATTGTTTTTAAGCATGTCCGCCCACGAGAGTGTGTGTGCGTATTGTATCTCTGGGATGTGTGAACGTTAACGTTGTATATGTCGCGCGCTCGTATGTCCATGCTTACGCACAAAGTCGCCCCCGCTTTAAGGACTCTCATCTTAAGAGTAACCCCCACTTTTCGGAGAAACAAATCTCAAAAGCAGGGTTCTCCACAGATATACACTTTAGCACGGTAGAGGGGGGGGTACCGGTCTTAAGGGCACTTCCCCGCGTTAAGGATACGTTAAAAAACAAGAAAATAGGTGTCCTTAAAGCGGGATCGACTGTACGTCGAATTCGCTCTACTTGTACCATCTCCCGCATTTGTTCTAAAGGATGTCTTGCTTGTCGAGCACTATTCATTCGGGCAGCGGGCGGTACGGCTCTTGTGCGCTCTCAGGTCATGCATGTTTCTCTTGCGGTGCACGCGCACTTGCGAGAAAAGCGGCACCACTTTTTTCGCCTCCCCCCTGGTTGTTGCCCTCCCGTTTTTTTTTTTTTTCGGCGATGCGATCCCTGTGTAGCAGCGAAGCCCATCATCTCCTGCGGGGACCGAAATCCTTGCCCCCCACCCCCACCCCTTCCCCAACGCCTACGTAGACGGTGAAACCGCGCGAAGAACATTCATGTGTCGGGGGGTGTCTCTATCAGGGATATGATCGGTGCTGTGTCTAAAAAAATGAAATGATGGATGCTTGGGTGGTCAGACGGCTAGATGACGAAAGGTAAACAGCATCCAAATGACAACGCCCACCACGCGCGCGCACTGGTGGATGTTGTTCAGGTAACGGACGAGGTGAAGGAAGGGCTGCGGAAGTTCTTTGAGCCCCACAACGAAGCCCTCGAGGAGATCTTAGGCCAACCGCTCCCGGAAGCATGGGGCTCGTGAACCAATGGGAATGGACGGCGTACAGCACAGGGGGGGGGGCTCATAGCCGTGCATGCCGTAGTCGTTGGACCATTGACATCGCCCGGGAAGGAGCACGCTGGGTTCCTCACCGGACCATGATCTCGCGTCACCAAGCGCGAAGCGCCGTGAGGTGTTCGTCGAGTAGCATGGAGGGTGAGCTGCATCGTGCGAAAGGGGGGTGTTCGTGCGATCCTTACGACGCAAGCAGCTGCCAACAGCAACACCAGCGGGTTGGTGAGGGAGGGGAAAGAGGGAGAGTACCCCTTTGCAACAGAACGAAGGCGGAGACTGTTGTGTTGTCTCCACCCGTTTGCGGACTGGTCCCGATGCCTCGCCGTTGTCGGTCGGTACTCTGGTGCCCCAGAAGTGCGTTCGTTGCCTCTTGAACTCGCAAGCGGAACGGGTGCCGTCGTGTTAGAGCGTGTTCTCAGCGTTGGTGGGGCGTGTCGTACAATAGGCATAGAATGCGGGGGCAAGAGGGAACGGAACATGCCGAGGACGGGTGAAGCGGGGAAAAAAAAAGTATTTTGTGTAATAGCACTGTTGAATGTTGTCTTGTCTCTCCTAGCCTGTTTGCGCAATGTCCGAACATTGCGGTAAACACGGTATGTTCGCAAATAGGGAGTCCTGCGGGTCAGACAGCGCCGCCACCGGTCGGGTTGCCTCGGCCCGCGAGAGACGGGGGGGGGGAGGGGGGAGTCACTGCACCGGAACCGTGCGGCGAATCCTTGAAGGCCGTGTGTTTTTTCGGAGACCGAACACGGCGTCGGCGGCGAAGAAGAAGAAGAAGAGGGAAGCCGTTTTCGAGCTCTTGGATTCTATTCCATTGCTGTATACCGACGTTCGAAACACGAACAGAGTAATGGCTTGCACAGCAGTTTGAAGCAAAGTTAACGTTGTTAAGGTCGATGTCTGTCTGTTTCCACCGATAATTTTTGGGTGTCGGTTGCAGGCATCTACTTTATTCGTGGTGTTCTAGACGATGGTTGTAGCGTGCCGTTGCTTGTCCTGTTTTGGAAATGGAGGGCTGGAAGTGGGCGTGAGGCCGTCGGGCGCCAATGAGCCGGTAGGATGGGGTTGATGCCCGGCACGGCAGGGGGGGTGGGGTCGGGTGGGCTGTCGTGGGAGTTGTTTGGGTATTGTTCTTCATTTTAGCCCTTTGCGTGTTTGTCGCTTGGGGGTCAGCGCTGTTGTTGGTATCATCATGTGCGCAGACTGTTGTAGATTACTATTAATACGTGTTTGTGCTGCCGTTTGTTGTTCTAAGGATGAAATACATTCATACGTAGTCTGTTCTACCACGTTGTTAGTTATCAGTCGCGGAGAGAGAGGTTGACGTTCAAATTTCCACGAAAATATTAAGGTCGGTTTTGAGAAACACAACCAACCCCACGAGGAAGGGAACTTGCTTGCAACTTGCAACTTGCAACTAACTCCATTTAATAAGTCCTGTTCTTGGTGGCGATGCAGTAAGACATGGAACATCGACGCGAAACGTTTTTTCTTTGTTTATTTCCTCCGGGTGCCAGCTCAGCAGTTGCTCAGCAGTTGTTCCCACATTTATTTCCGGAGGCGTGCATCGTGGACTAATGATTGGTTGGAAGGACAGCCGTAGTCATCATAATGGTTCAATGGTCCCGCGTGTAGATCATAGGTAGGTACGATGGGTCATAATTGTGCTTTTGTGTTACCGTGGGACTGCTCTCATTGGTATGGGCTCAGGTACACCCATGGACTTGCGCGAAATGCCACTATCCATTTGGTCTGGTAGAAGAGACTCTACAACAACAGCAAATTTGCAGGACATGCAGCATTTTCTTCATAAAAAACCATCGCGCTTACACCTTCGTCCAGATTCTCCCTCCGAACAACAATGCACGAAAATTATTTCCACGGGATTTTCATACACCACTACTGGTCTACACTCTTGACACACCTTGATGCTCGCACAGCACTGCGTACGATATGTGTTCACAAACCTGGGTGGTTCATTCAACATTTTCTGGGCCCTTTCTTCGAGTCCATCTGCGGCTGTCTTCTATGCAGTTGTATGCGTCTATGCCTCGATGGACAACTAAACCTTGTTATACAATGGAGGACCGCACACCACGGGCAAATAGATGCAGCAGGCAGCCTTTAATTTACTTCTCCGGTGCGCAGTTGCCGCGGTGTCTGGTGTACGGTGTTGGTGGGCAGTGGGTTCAGGGATTCGCATCATTGCCCCCCCCCCCCCCCCCCCCCCCCCTTGTTCCTGTTGCTCTTTCTTCCCTCTGCTGTGCCTCTCATGTGCAACGTGTACCGTGTACAGCAGTGCCGCCCTCAGTCGCTGTGCACTCTTGCTCGGTCGGCTGCTTATCGTAGAATCTATCACCACGACACATGGTCCGGATATGCAGGGTGGCCCTGCTGGTGGCCATGGTGGCGTCGCCGGTGCGTGCATTGCTTGCTGTGTGCCAGGCCTCCCTCTTCGTTGCGGGGTGCCTTGTTCAAATTTGTAGGAGCCACTGCTCCTGCTGTTCCTTGTCGCGTATGCTACCTGGAGCATAGGCTATAGGCTGCTCCTCGTTTACGTGTATACACCTGTGGGGCGATACAAGGTTGTAAAGACAGCGGCGAGATTCCTGTTGTGTTTGTCAATCTGTCCTGTGCTCTCCGTGCCTGTGTTTGTTGGCGCTGAGTTGGTCCAAACGTCTGGTGACCTTTTTTGTCTATTTTTGCAGTTCAAACGCTGACCATGTGACCTTGTGGTGTAAGCAAGATCAGGTAGCGTGCATGATACGCGAGCAACTGCTGTCGTGCCTCATCTTCAGATCGTCTGGCCCATTCTGTACACACCCTACCTCAGGACGCATTTAGTAGAACACATACGAGGTCGACTATTGCTGTCATCCCATTGCCAAGCAAAAGTAGCGGGAGTGTGACCCGAGTCTCCGTAATCTACGGCATGTTCATGTTGGTCTCCATCATCATGGCCGCCACGATCACTGTTGATAGCTTGTACCTTACCGAACGCAGGTTCGAACACGTTCCTTGCGGGGGGTGACCGCCTGGACCCACGCCGTGATCCCAACGAGGGCATCAACGCTCTTCGACAGCAGCAGCAGCAGCAGCAGCAGCAGCTGCAGCAGCATGGGCCGACCAGGCGAGCAGGAGGCGATGCATGCGGCGGGATACCTGTCCGTTTGTGGTGCGTTCAGCCGAGGCGGGTGGCGAGGGAGGAGGAGCAGCAAGCGGGGTAGAAGTGGCGACGATGGGGATATCACCCGCTGCTTCTCGACCCTTGGCAGCAAGAGGCAGAACTCCAGGCCCGTCGGGTGGGTTCAGGGGTATGCCCCCGCATCTACTACATGATGGAAGATATCTTACCCCATCTACAGTAGGTGTGTAGATGTGACCGTACAGCAGTATTCGAGGTCCGCTGGCGATTACAACACCTATATACAAGACCTGAATACTGAAAGCAACATTCTGACCGAGTAGTTGTGGTTCGTAAGTATCCCGACGATAAATGTTGGGACGGCTGCGCTTGTGATTGCTCGTGTATCCCTTGTGCATTTTCCAATGTGGAACTTAGGCACATGCTTATTATTTTCTTGTCAGGTGCATGCATGCCCCATTTACCCTTTCGTTGTGGCGAAAAAGCTGCTGTGAAATCCGCTCTCTGTCCGAAAGGAACCTCAACGTGGCATCCACGGCAACGCGCCTCGTACAAATATCGTGCCTAGCGATCGTTTTTTGGGATCCTCACTACTACTTCTACCTTTTATTGCAGAAGCGCATTGTTTGTCGGAATCCTCGCTACTAATAAGTTTTTCGCAGAACCACATCGTTTGTTTGTTGGGACCCTTACCACCACCTTTTTTTCGCAGAAGCACCACCTCTTCTTTCCTCGTGAAATTCTGCACCCCCCTTACACACGGCGCACGCAGGACTGATGAGCTAACCCAAACCGCCAGAGACAGGGCGACCGCTCTCGTTGAGGCCTACGTCCCCACCCCGGCAACCGAGGGGGACCTGCGCTGCATCGAGGAGAGACAGCTGCGGCACAAGGCCGGGGCGTCGTCTAGGTCTATGGGCGTGTCCCCTAACCCCTGCCGACACGGCTTTCCGCAGGCGTTTGCTTTCGACCCCTGCGGGCACAAGGTGCGCTTTGGAAGCGGAACCCGCCTCGTCGTCTACGAAGCTCGTTCATGGGGTTGTGACTTGGTGCCTTTTGTGGTGTGTGTCAACTTAGTCCGCCAAGCACAACAGCATCACTTCGTGGATTGAATTGATACATGGTGATATACAGCATGGAATCTGGCGTCTGGCAAGGCCGGAGAATGAGCGCGCGCGCGCGGTGCCCTGACACCCACGGCAATCAGAGGAGCCGAAGCGAGTAGGCGCTGTGAAGCCGGGTATCCCACAGGCAAGGGGTGCGTTTCTCGTCCCCCCACTCTCTACCCTTTTTCTCGGTGGTGGTCGAGTAGATAATCAATGTTGTGTGGGGTCGAGAACCCTCACTCCGCGCAAAGGACATGATCGCACCACATGGTGTTAAAATCGGTCAAACACCTTACACATGCTTATAGCTGTCTCTTGAAGGGAAAGCACAAGAATATAAATTAAGTCATTTGCAGCTATCATCCATATGCAAGGAAGTAAGCACAAGATGCCGAACACCCTCGGCACGATGCAGCGCACCGTCAATGCGACTCGCCGAATGCCTCACGGCGCTTCGCTCTTGGTGATGTGAGAGCCTGGTCAATTTGTAGGGGTGCGAGGTCAATGGCCCAACGACTCCGGCATGCGCTGCTGTGACTACCTCCCCCTTCCCCCGCGTCTCCCTTAGTTTGAAAATCGACCCGACAATGCTTGCCCCGTGCTGATGCGTCTTCGACCGTTGTTACTAGGTGTCCTCGGGGCTCTTCCGGCTGTCGTGCCCGCTACTGGTGCAGGCCATCGATCTGCTGGAGGACGAGGGGGGGATAGAGGACGTCAACGCAAGGCTGGCCAGCGAAGAGGGGCTCCGTGAGGTGCGTGATGGCCCCGCCGAGTTCTGCCCTGTCCCGCGTGGCCCGAGGCACATTTGGGCGGTGTTGATGCGCTCGGGAATGTCGGCTGTCACGAGCAAGGTGGCGTGGTGACTCTTCGGCCACGGCAATTCACTGAGAAACTTACAGCAGTACATGATGTTAACCCTTTCCCGATTGTTTGTGTGCTTCCACACATGGCCGTACTCGTTAAGAGCGGGTGCGAGAGTGCTTACATTGCCCGACGGAGGGTGCTAGCCTCACCGAAGACAGAGCCTGCAGGGAGCATCTAGACAACGGGTTTGTGTGAAGTCCTGTTTGTGGATGTCATCCACCTTTGGTTATTTGTTTTGGACTGGAGGCAGCCCGCACAGGAGAATCTTGTGGTAGCCCCCCGCGCCCCCTAGTTTTGGGGTCTACGGACACTCTAGCTTCGATTTCTACATAAGTCGGCTCTTGTGCTCAGCGTTCTATGGCGTTGCTGATGAAGACAGCTCGGAAATTCAACGTAGCGGATGTCCTGGGTCGTTCTGTATGTACGTGGTTATGGCCCTCTACTACGCAAGAATTTCGTACCACTTTCCGCAGACTTGAGTTGTTTTTGTTTCGTGAGGTTCACGTGCGTGCGTACGTGTCGGGCGTGGGTGTTTTGATGGCCCGGCTCTGCTGGGTACTGCTGTGCAGGACTTTATGGCCGTGAACTTGGCGCACGGCATGCTGCGGCGACGTTTAGTGACTCCGGACAAGATGGGCTTGGTAGAGGAGACCATCGGCAAGGAGGGGGCTGGACGCTTTCTCGACAGCGGCATAACAGGCGTAACGCCCGGGAAGGTGAACACTCACCCTGAAGATGAGCTTGCCAGGATTCAGCAGGCGATCTGTCTGCGACAGTCCAAGATGACCTCTTGCCTGTCATCTGGTAGAGACTAAACCACTCTTGTTCCAGCTACTAAAGCCAGCGAGTGTAGGAAACGGCCCGCACGGTAGTGGAAAGGTTTACCCGGGCAGCGGAAACTCTTCCGACCTGTAACCCCGGGAAACGTCCGCGCCGAAAACGGTGTTAAGAGAGGTGGGCTTTGAAAATTCACATGCGCGATGTCAAGCGCCCCAACGCACGTGTTGCACGAGTATTCTTTTTCGTCCCACAATCACCAGGTTTGCTTTCGGTCATGCGGCGGTGTTACAGACTGCTGGTTTAGGCCTGAGGAACCGACGGGTTTTTGTTCATTGCCGTGGCGTTGTTCATCGGCCGCGCTCGGCCACAACCACAGGTGCGCGACGCCAAGTGCCTCCACGCGCACGTGGCGGACGCCCTCATGCGCGGCAGAAGCGCCAACGCGATCGGGCGCGCGACGCTGGAGCTTCTCGAGGCCCGAGGGGTGCGGACGGACGGGGGCGACCGGTGCAGCGAGCAGTGCAACTATCTGGTGGAGGAGACGGCCGACAGCTGGAGGTGAGGGCCTTCAAGCGAAAGAGAGATAACGATGTCCGGTGCCCGCCGGTGTCCAATGGGTCAACTAGCGTATGCGACACGAGATGACACATACACCAGTGATCAAGATCTTGGCGACGTCGGTCCGAACGAGCTCGAAAGCTCGAGCAGGTGGCTGGCAGTGAGAGCGCGGGATCAATTGCTTGGCTATAGTTTTTCGCCACGGTGCGATCTTGTTTCGTTGCTGTCCGCGTTTGCAGTTTGTAGCCAAGGTTCTCGACGGTGTCTTGGCCTAGTAGTCAACGGTGGTCGCGGCGGTGGTAGCGAACTCACCAGCCACATATCCCGTGTGGACCTAGGCTCGGGATTTTGATCCCCCTCGCGCCTCCGTTCCTTACGCCTTCCGTCCCCGACCCCAATTCGTTGTTCGTCTCAAGACTTCACAGCCCACTGCAACACCTACATTTGCAGTCTAGAGTAGAATAGAAATACAAGCAGCCTCATATTTTCGTCGGCGCCCGCCCACGCCACCCGTGTCAGGTATACACCGCAAAAGAATAAACAGAAGCTTCAGATGAGAAAGGTGCGGCGAAAAGACATGAAAGCCTGCATCACCAAGAAGGAGAGAGACCGGGAGACCAAGGATGATGCCGTCGTCGACGTCGATGGCGGCAGCGGCCTACCCCTCAACGGCGTGACCACTGCCGCCAGCAGCTGCAAAAACAGCACCACCGGTTCTAACATCATCAGAATACGCGGCGACACCGGCGTGAGGCACGATACCACTGATGGTACGGGAGAACCCGGCGATGGTGGGATGGAAAGAGGCCATCGGACGATGCGGGTGGAAGAGGACCCTGTTGCTATGCGATGACGATAGCGTCCTTCCGGTCTTAAGAAGGCTCAGGGTGACAATTTTCTCCTGTGACATTCGTTGGGCCTGGGTATTGATATATCTCCGGCCGCGGCTATTGCAGCTTTACGACATTGCCATGCAGCAGCCGGGCGAACCGACCGGCTGCAAGAGCGGTTTACTGTTGAAAAAGCTCGGTCCATCGTTGTTACAAAGACGGAGAATCCGTTAGAAAGACGTTTTTTCGCGCAAGCGTGATGGTGTGTACGTAGCCCGCGCTCGAGGACAGGTGTTCATGTGTCACAAAAGCGGGCCGTTGAAGGCAAAGAAGGTCTGCAACTCTCCCGAGAACAGGTAGTGCAGGGGAATGTACTTGTAGCATGATCCGGGTGATCCAGATATGGTGCCTACAGATCAATGGAAGTGTTTTGGCCTACGAGAGGAGGGATACCCAGGTAGTCCACGCATCGGCGCCGTGGTCGTGGTCACGGTAGAGGAATCGGTAGCACACAACGGTTGTTTTCCTCGTTCTTCTTGTGAAATACGCGACGGGAAACTTCCACCTACTCCGGAAAAGCCGTCCGACGAGTTGTGATATGGTGGAGTTTAATATAGAAATCTGTTTGTGGTTTAGGAAGAAGAGGCAGAGTCGGTAAACAACTGGACACCTGGAAAGGGGGAGAGAATATCAAAGAGAGACAACGTGGCTCTAGACACCACGACCGGTGTACAAGGAAGAGCCACCCACTCTGCTGGACATTTGGCACCGAAACGAGCGAGAGTTGGCGCGAAGAGTTGATGTCACTATTTTTTTCGGTGGAATGCTAGAGTTAACCTCGACTATTCCATCCTCGAAGAGATTCGGTTGGATGAGGCGTGCAGCCAACCTCGAATAAACAAAGTAGCGATCCGTCCCATGGATGGAGCTGTCGATAGTTTCTCTTTTATTGTGTCTCAGACGATAGGGATCTAGGTGGTCGACCTGCATAGCTAAACAGAGTCTCCGATGGGCTCTTAACACTCTTTGTTGCGATGTTCTACTCTTCCAACAAACCCACCGGAACGGAAACGAATGGTCTATCCACCTGGTTGGACGCGATTTGGATAACTCTCACACATGGCAGCGGGTACCAAGTTCGAAACATGTTTTTCTCCCTAAGACTACTGAACCTAAAATACCTGCCGTTCGGTGCGTGTACAAGCCAGCCTCTCTAGACCGTCTGTCCGCCGCACTCTCGCCCGGCCCCTCCCCGATCGTTGTGGCATTCGTTCTGAATGTGTTTGAATCTATGCCTGCCCATCTTCTGACTCCTAACCCCCCCGCCCTGAACCTCACTTGGTACTTTCGAAAACCGGCAGCAGATGACTCTGCCTGTGTGGATAAAACGAATAGTGGAATCTACACCTTAGTCTAGCCTTTAATCCGTACCAAAAGTAGACACACTACGCGACCGAGCTGTAAAACAACCAGCCAATCGAATCGCTCGACTCACGCCCGAGCAACGAGAAACACAGAAAAATCTGATGAATAGGTACATGGCACGATGTTGTTGTGCCCCCCCAAAACCTGAAACAGGTCAATGGCTTACAGAATCAAGATCGGCAGCCATTAAAACTCAAATTTGAATCAAACTAGAGGTAGAGAATCCGTGCTTTCAGTGACTACTTGAGCGCCTCCGCAGTGATGGTGTACACCACGTAAGAAGCGTAGGTGAAGAGTAGGCTGTAGGCCAGCTTCGTGTTCATGTTCCATCTGCTCAGAATCAGGCTGACCACGAACATCAGCACCGCGCAAAAGAGGATGATGAGCGCCGTCGTCGCTCCCTCCGAGTCAACCTTTCACGAAGCGGCAGAGGAAACGCGAAGCAGGGTGCGGGGGGAGGAAGATTGGTACTCGTTGTCGTGCGCGACTGCAGCCTTCACAGGAGGCAGGGCATTGTCCATCAATATCAGGCCATTCCAAAATGGGTTGGTGCGTGCCGACGTTGCATTTTCGAGGCAGCCCTCGCACAACAGCGGGTTTCGTGAAAGGGAAGATGGAGGGCGTTCCAGGGACCAAAAAGAAAAAGGGTGGTTTGGGGGGGGGGGGGGGGGGTCCTGACATGGAAGGCTAAGCCTTGGGGAGGGAAAGGGCGGCGTTGGAGAAAAAGGAACACAACCACTGAGCCCTGGCTGGTTGGTAGCATGAGCAACGTGAAAATCTTCTCAGCGGTGCTGGAAGCTGTCTGTCTGCCATTTTGATCCTGAGTTTTGTGGGTGCTCGTGCGAACAACGAATGCCTCGACGACCTGACGCTTGAACATCAGCCGGGCGATTGTCGCTCGTATAAGCTTACCAACACATCTGTGATACTCATTGTTTGTATTTTTGTAGCTCGTCGCCTTGTGTCGTTCTCGCTGTGTGTTGCTGTTAGCAGCATGGAATATCGGGGAGGTCGTGCGTGATTGGTTGTGACGTGACGAGCGGGCTGAAGCGATACAACCTTCTCTCACGCGCACTTCGTTCTCTGCAGGTCGAGGAGGTTGGGCGAAGTGTTTGCTATGCATACCCATGTGCCTGTCGCCCTCTATACTCCCCCCTCACTCACCGCCGTAGGCTCGCCCGAAACGAGAGACGAGAACAACCACGGCCCCCCCAACCCAAGCAGGATGTTGAAGACGTTACTCCCAATAGCGTTCGCAATCGCCATCTGGCGCGGGACCGACGAAGCAGTAGCAAAGTGAAGGAATGGGAGGGTCGGGTTGGGAGAAGAAGAGGGATCTCCATACGGCGTTGACTGTGCTCCTTTTCACTATCAACGCGGAGAAAAGGAGAGGAACGGAGGGTGAGGGCGTGGCGGGATTCGGTTTGATAGAATTGTTGAACGTCCTTGACACAAACGCAGCTGCTGCTATGGTACAACGACTCGTCTTCGTAGGCATTCCTGCAGGTGATTGAACGTGCACCCTCCAGGGTGAGGCAAGACGGACGGTGGTTAAAAGCTCTGCCCATGGATTCGTAGTAGACGAAGGCTCGCCTCGCGAAGCCACATCGCAAGAGGAGAAGATTGTCGTATTGAAAAATAAGTATTTTCGTCCATCGTTTGTGTTTACAGATCCAACCTAGGAGTGTGAATGGATACAGCGTTTAGTTACGATCCGCTTAAAACTCAGTCTCGTGAGTGTGAGGCGGTAAGTGGTGTTTGGGGACTCGCATCGCCTCTTCCGTGTATGTGTGGGTGCGTCGGCTCGTGAGTGGGAAGGAGGGGCAGGGCTCCTACCGATGCTTCCCCGTTCTTGGCAGCGATCATGGAGCCGATCATGTCCGGCACTGACGTGCCAACCGCCAGCACGAGAACCCCCATCACGATTGCGCTTACGCCTAAAATACACGCTGCACCCGTCGCCAGTGTCACCTGAAGGAGGGGGTAGGGGGCGAAGAAATGGGGGTAGTGAGAACAAGGGATGGTGGTCCTGGGTATCGACAAACAGCTGCAAACGAAGTTGGTCTTTTGTCGGATAAAGCAGTCATTGCGCGAGGAGGGGGTTGCATCGAGTAGGTTTGTGTCCAATGTCCAGCTTGGACACGCATCTCTCCCAGCTTGTTTTTTTGTCTGGTCGTCCGTTTCCACACAGTGTGCGACAGCAATGAGAGTTGATGACACAGGTTCTCTCGAACTGTGGGGACGCCGCGCTGATCTCTTTCTACATTACACATTCACAACAGTGTTTCCGAGAGGAATTCCTGGCGCCCCCCCCTTTCACCGCGTTTCGCGACTGACTCACCATGTAGCTGCTGATAATACTAATCCACGAAATGCTCATGACGAAGGTGAGGATGTAGTACTTCTCGTACTCCGGCCTGGAGCAGTCTGGCACGGTGAGGCTGAGCCCGACCAAGAACGGCAGGCCGAAGACGAAGAGAAAACGCTCCATCCACCCCTCGGGCCATGCCAGAAGGTCGTCGCCCTGCTGTCGGTCACGCAACAAAAGCACGGAACGATTTTCTGTGGTCGTGAGAGATCTGACGCGATACAACTACTATTGGGAGTAGGGCAATGAACGACAATCCTTGAGTGTGATGAAGGCAGGCAATGATGAAAGCGTGCCACACTTCCCGCGGCCAGAGAACGAATGCACGGCGCCTCGTGGTGCTCCGTTCGTGGTAGCAATTCGACAAAATGAGCACCTGGAAACAAACGTCTGTGGCGTTATGGGACAGCAGAAGGCATTGCGCCATAGAGCAAGAGGAAGGCATTGTCCATCCCTCCCTCATGGTCAAGCTATTAGTGTTATTATTACGTCAAGAACAGCCTGTTTTTGAAGAATATCGTAGCCATCTTGGCATGTTTCGTGACCCCCATTTCAGCAGACAGATAACTGCTTACCGTTTCTTCCCCGACGATCTGATAGCCTCCCGACGTTCCTTCAGGGGCTGCCTTGTTCCCTTCCACCACGGCCGCAGCCCCACTTTTGGCTGCCACCGTTCCCTCTGTATATGCTCCTCCTCCGGATCCTCCCGTCTGCCCATCCCAGCTGAGCCTTGCCGTCGAGCCCTAGGCATGATTTCACACACAGCCGTGTAAATCAAAGAATATCGCAGTGATAATTGCATATCTACGAGTTTGGTGTGGAAGTGGATCGATGTTTTTTTTGTAATATGGCGTCTCTCTGTTGTTCTGGCCTATTCAAAACGAAGCGTTGGTGTTGCGAAAAATGCTTGACCATACGTAGATGATTTTACTAAATCACCTTCTTGACCGACGCAACCGCGGCTGCGGCGGCCGCAGCCATGGGATCTTCGTTCCCCTCGTTGGCAGCAACGTAGGAAGCTCTTCTACCCTGCGACGTCCGCCGCTCCTGTCGTTCGGCGCACATATATCCATCAACATCCAACAAGAGAAGCGGAGCATCACGTTGCTGCCCGGCCCAAGCACGGAGGGAGTTAAAGCGTATGTGACGAATTTTCATCGGAAAGTGTGTCGTTTTTTCCAACCTCAAAATTCTTGTTCGAACTACACTGATGATTTGTTGCGAAAGGCCATGGCACCTCTAAGAGCCCTAGGACCGCACACATACCCCAGAAACGTTAGGAGCACGCGCTGGACGAGATCTATGCACGGGACAAGCGCTGCGTTTTGGTCGCCAAATCTCCGTACCCATGGTGGAAGAGAACGTGGAAAGATTTGAGTGGTTCCCCGGCGCAACTCTGCCGGGGTGCCAGCTTACACGCCGTGACGGAAGCAGTTACTCCCCACTCACAGTCACCGCAATGCGAGGTCAATGGTCAAACGACGACGGCATGCACGACTAATGAGTACCCCCCCCCACACACATTCCCCACAACAGCGCAGGCAACATCCTGAGTACAGCTTTACGTAGGGTTCTCGTGGCGCGACAATTGATACACGAGGTTCGTGACTGTTTTGAAGGGGGGGGCGGCGATGTCTCAATAGCTATCTCCATTGAAATACTGACCGTGCTCGGGGTGTACGAAAAGAAAAACAGTGATAATGCTTGCATGCTATGATGCGAGAAAGACCAGAACCTCCCCTCTTTCAGCGTTGACGACATTCACGAACGTGGTTGCACAGTACAAAACGAGTAACTTACTCGACGATGACGACAGCAGTTCTCCGGCAAATAATTGTCGTACGCAACTGCTTACATATCTCGATAAGCGCTGCCCCGAAACACACGGACAGCGAAACACCACGCTTTTGCCCGAAGACCGGGCTGCCGATGAAGCAAATATGTAAGAACAACCCCCACGTCATCCTTACAACTACAGCGTTCTAGGCGTTACCTTCTCTCTATCTTTGCTTGTTAAGAAAACAACACGACCAAAGCCTTTCGTAATAAGGTATACTCCTCAACAATATTTCTTACGCAACAAAACGAAACAGGGAAGTGCGCAGCATGTAGCTTGCCGACCTACTGCTGTACTTGTCGGGGGGCTAACGCCCAGGGCGCGATCGTTTAGAACGCCTTTTTGTTCGTGCATTGTATTTCACGCTTTACGCACCCTCGTGTACACTCGTCGCATCCTGCCATGGCGTACGTGCCCAGCTACAGAAATAGCCTCTCTCCTGCTTATCGTTTTTGTTTTCGTGCTCACCCCTGTAAATATAGTGACTAAATGTGCGGCCCCAGCGGCTCGTGCATCTGACTCTATTGGAGGTGAAAGCCCCCTGCTATCGTACTCGACACTTATATATATCGAATGGATGCTTGTCCTAAAATACTTCCCCTTGCGAACCGGCTTAGGGTACCTGAAGACACACTAACTAACCCTTGCTCAGATGATCGCTAAAGGAAGTGGATAAACGGCTGGATTGCACGGCGGCGGCAGCGGTGGCAGCGTCGATAGGGGCACCGCCCAACGCGAAGACCCCTGCCTCCGCTACTTCGGTCGTTACAGTACACATTTCCACAAGAATGTCACAAGCAAAGCCGTTCCCACGACGTGTAATGGACTTATCTGGACCCTCAAATCGTAGCACAGCGAACATCACTCCGTTCCACCGTTAGACTTGACCTACACCGTCCAAACGCTTGCCCGAAACACATACCAGGTACGCGGCAGTATCCTTCACAGAAAGGCGCAAACGCACCTGCAACAGCGATACCCGCAGCGCGCGAGACGCCCTTCGGTTGAGATGCTGCGAACCCCTGCGACCGCCACCATCACCTTCCCCTTCCTCGCTCCCCTGATCACCGCCGTCGACGGAACCGCGCCGGGCGGAAGAACGTCTGCGCGTTGTTGCGGTGCTGTTTCCATCACCGACGCCCCCGGCTATAAACGGCTTTGGCGGCTCTTCTCCTGCCTTTAGTCGTTGCTGGTTGCGTTGTTGGGCGCACATTTGTGATGTACATCAAGGGACGTTGTACGTTGTGCATTGTGCGTACCAAATATTAAGCAGTAGGATATCTTTCTTGTGTGGTAGAGGGAGATTTGGCACAAAGCCAGCATCCATACAATCGCTTCGCACCGATGTGGGTGCCCTCTCCATCAAAGGTTAAGGGTCCAGGCCACACCGGGCGTACAACTCACATTTCGCCTCCTACCCCCAGTCTACGAAAAACGTTTGCGCTTTCTTCATGTCCTGCCTCCGACTATTCACGGCAGTCTTTTGGACTCACAGCTGCTGCCTTTTCCAACGGCTCCAGCGCTTCTAACTCCGGTCCCCCGACCGTCGGCAGCACCGTCCCCTAGAAGTGTACGGCACGGGAACATGGGACAAGATGAGGATTTGACGATGACAAGGATGGTGCGGGCGGAGTTTTGCAACGACAGAGAGCCGAGAAGAAGGTGAACGAGGGAGGCTTAGAACAGACGAGGACGGCAAAAGGGCGTGCATTGCACGGGGTGAGGGACTGTTTGATGACACAGTACGATTGTGCGGGATGCTCAGCCTGCTCTACTCGAGGCCTGACAAGGCCAGTCGCAGAAGACCTACGTACATAGGACAAGGAGAAGATGCAGACGAGGTTGTTCGAGGATTAGCGTGCTGTGAGATCATGAAAGAACGCAGGCGACAACTTGTTGGTGGTTGACTTGTGGACAAACCCCGTTTCAGCGCGTGAAAGGGTATTAAGAGGTCTCCAGGCGCGAGGCGGTGTTCCCACCTTAGGAGCGGAGCACATCTCGAGAATCCTCGAGTTGTAGACCATGAACACGATGTACAGCCCATATGCCAACACCATGATCAATGCCTGCAGGAGGCACAGAGACGTTCATGACGCACGCACGACGAGAGCCGCGGCAGCAAGGAAACGAGCTGTAAACGTGACGGCGCTTCGATGGAAATAGCAGAGAACAAAGGGCGACGGAGATACTAAATCTCAACAGGAACAGGAGGAGTATGACCAATGGGCCGGAAGGATATAAAGTTGCATATCCATCCTCATTGATGTGCGGATTGAGGTACCCATTTTTTTTCACCACGTTGTTGTTGGTGTAACGGTGGCGGTAACCGCGTTGTCAATTTCGTGCATGCACGCAACTCCTCCTTCAAAGGATCCACAAGGCTGGCCGCCCGAAAGGTGCAACAACCCCGTCAAGAAAGCAGAAGGTGCTAACCACCTACCTCCCACCACCGAATCTCGCCATCGCTGGCTGCCGCCACCAGCATGAAGATGCTGCAGGTGTAGAACGACACGTCTCGAGCCACGACACGGTGGTCAATCGTGCCGGAGGTGCCGCTCTTCACGGCGACCGCCGCCGATAGGGCCACGATAACGAGCACGTTGAACATGGCCGACCTGAGGCGATAAACGACACAAGAAAGGGCCAGGAGAAGCGGTCGGCGGTCGTATGTTGGGGATCTTGATTTGCGTTGTTGTGAGTTTCGGTGCGGTTCAGCATATCGCATATTCTTCGCTGGGCTTTTTGGACTTGGGTGCGCTGCGTGTGTTGCCTCCGTTCCTTCAACTTGTTGTTAGGTTCGTTTCTTGTAACGGAGCGGTGATGACTGTGCGTCCGAGGGTGACTGAACGAGAAACAGGTACCAAGCGGAGAGGGGGCTCTGTTGTTCGTGTTGTTACACCGAGTCGGTGTCTGATGTTTCTCTTTGATATGCAGGCCTGCAATTCTCACGCTCTCCCGGTTTTGCTTTTTTTCGCGTTGTGTTTTAACGGTCTCGTCCACGGCCTGTCTCCACCGACTCTTCACACTTATCCGCCCAAACCTAAAATGGTGTCGACGTCGTCAGCAATTCGCAGGGATGATACAATCTGCAACCAATACAATTGTAAGGTGTTCCATGTATCTTTGTAGCTGAGCGACATACAACTACGCACTTGAAGTTCGACCGTACATTTCCCAAAGGAACAGGTTTATTGGATGTAAATATTGTAGCTGCTCGCGATATGTTCGTAATAACAGTACCGTGATTGTACGAGTGATGGCACCCCCCGTGATAGACATTGATAGGTTGATTGATCTATATCCTAGAGGGCAACACTGCAGAAAAGAGTGGTTTAGGAAAGATCTCGTCGAGAGTTTTCCTCAGACCAATTGGTCGGTTATTGGTTGGTTTTCGCGACCTCTTGGCTGTGGAGCAATCACGCTGGTCGACCTGATTGTGTAGCGCGGTGCTTTGAGAATGAACTTGCCCTACGATGGTGCCCACGCCGATCGAGTTGGAAGGACCGAAGACATCCGCAATTGATGTGAACAACTCCGGAGCCGATGATCCGGCCGCGAGAAACGTTGCCCCCGCCACGTCCGGGGTCAGCCCGAGCACCTGTTTGTTGTGTTTGTTGATGGCGGTGGAGGTGGCCGAAATGCGTTGGACGAAACGCACAAGGCAACGAAGCAAGAAATAAATGTAAATGTCTTTTCGTGCTTGGAATACTACTGTATGGCCCCAGCTTGTGTGTGAGTCGGGTGCACTGCTGTGTGTACTCTGATCTCTACATAGATAGGCGAGACCATAATGATATCAGATGTTCACCTAATATTTCGGCAAGTACTCTAGCGAACCGATGGTACAAAGTGTGTGCGTATCCTCTTATAAAATTGAAGTGAATACACATCTACAAGTAAGTGAGTATGGGTGACATGATTAGCATCTTCGTAGGCACAATGTGTTCGATCACACCATTTCCCTAATTCCCTGCCTCGGTACAGCAGTGTTCTGCCTGAGGGACAACACGCGACTATTTGCTGTAGCACAGGGTACGTGTCCAGATACAACGTCCAGCCATTGTTTTCAAGCATTTGGCATTGCTTTCAAGCACTACTGCTGTAAGCTACATAAGAGCTCCGTCCACGGGAAACCTCTAACGAGCACGGCACGATATCTCTGCACCTCTTTTCGTGCCAAGCAAGGTGTAGTGCATTGAGTGCTCCATTTATTACGTGCCTGCAGAAAGAATAGACGTACATACCTCTGAGATTTTCTCCAAGGATGCCTGAAAAAATTCGTCGCAGACTATCGCCAGCCCGTTGAACGTGAACAATATCGCTACCACGAGCAGCATCACCGTACCCGCACCCCCGCCCGAGAAGGCATTGTCCGCGCATGCCGCGGCTGCTCCCTCCTCTTCTTCCTCGTCTGCCATTCCCTCTACCGACCCTTGCTGATCTTCGTCGCTGGTGGCAAGAAGCAAACGATTCAAAACGCCACTGCTATGATCGCCGGCGCCGCCGCCGGCCACGGCGACTGAAACATACCGCTCTCCGATCTTGCTTGCGTGAAGTCCTTCTGCTGCTGCTTTTTTCAACGGCACCCCAGCCATCTCCTTCCTCTCCCCCGATATTCTAGCTTGGGTTCTCAACGTTGTCGTTCTTGCTTCTATTGTCTCCGTCCGATGCGCCTCTGTTGAGCTTGAAGCCCATACGATGACCACCCCTGCCCCGACTACCCCGACCGTATACACAAGTCTCAACAGGCGAATCCTTCGCCGGTAGGCTGTTGTTGCTCTGCCTCCCAGTTTTCGTCTCTGTGGTGGTCTCGATTCGCAACCGTTCCTCTGCCGACGCCCGCGCCGGCAACCGACAACATCGTCGCCGTGTGTATCTCTGCTGCCATCGAGGTCCCTCCTTGATGCCGAGAACATTGCTAGGAATGATGATCGGATGATCCACGGTCTTCTGAGTGAGAGAGATTGTTGGCGTCGTGTGCCTGTGTGTCGTTCCACTTGCTTCCCCGCGCGTGCCGCCTGCTGCTTCACCTGCTGCGGCTATTGCTGCGAAGGCACACAAATGACATTCGCCGGGCACGGCGCTGTCAATCACCCATAAGCTCACGTCCTTGCCTTATAGAGGCGGAGGGCATTATTGGTCGTGTTTTGTTCGATGGTGTCTGTTCTCGGAGTACTTTTTTTTTTGAAACCGCCACATGTATGTCTGAAGAGGCACCGCGCGACGGAAGGATATGATCATGGCGCTGTGAAGAATATATATCTTGTTCAAAATTGATATCTTTCACATTCATCATGCAGGCAGCCACAAGTGAGGAGGGTAATACGATTTGCTCAACACAGTTAATTAGTCTAAAATTGAACGCTACGAGTTTGCGGTGTGCTGGGCGTCTAATCTGGTGGGAACCGCGCGGAGTCTACGGTAATTGGTCGTTGAACAGGCGGTTTGTATGCAACAAAATGTTTTTAGTCTCGGATGTACTGTAGTACAGCATATTGAATTGCTGAGTACAGTACAACATACTGATTGCCACTGCTGTGTAACGCTCGCTAGATGGTGCCGAGTCCTCGTTCCTATTTGTTCGTCTCGTCGAAAGCACATCTTGCGCCAATGGCCCATGCTGATGATGAACTTCAGTTCAAACCGGGGCAGCGATTTACTTAGTTGATGTGTGGCGACCACCACACACACACACACTGTCTTTGATCCGAAGGATAGTTTAGCCTCTCCCATGCTGCCCCCTCCAGGTCCCAGTTCATGGCAGATAGAAGTGTTTTGTGTTTTCAACCGCACTAAGACTGACGTCTTTTCATTGGTCAGCCGGTTAGCGCGGTCGATGCTAATAACAAAGACACACACACACACACACAACCTTTTGTCTCTCACTTCCAGAAAAAAGCCATTTTTATTATTGTGTCGCCGCGCAAAGGCCGGGTCTTGGAGGTGGAACTCTCCCCCTCCCTCCCGGCCCTTAAGCCTACTAAGGAATCCAAACGCTAAGAACCAGGCTGACCACATTCCGCTGGTCGCCCAGCTTGGTTGGGCACAAACCTCCCCATCACGAAGTCTTGTTCTTCTTACTTCTGGATCCGCCCCTCTTCACGATTTCTTCCCCATTTCGTCCCTTGCCCCGGTTGTCTCTCAAATACTCCTTCCCCTTCTTCCAACACCGCCGACACCCATGCTGGGTCTTGCATATTCGCCCTCACGTATGCCATAAATGCGTTCGACGACCACCTCCCTTCCTTCTTTATCACGGCCTCCGGCACCCCTTTCGCGGCCAGCCTCGTCGCCCCACCTATCCTTACCGAATGTAACGCAAACTCTTCCGGTTTTATCTTCGCCCCTGCCCCTTTCCCTTTCCCTTCCTTCGACCACATCTATCTTTGACACCGCTCTTATCCCCTTCCTCGGTTGTTCTGTCGCCTTCCCTCTCTGCCATACCTCCCACTTCCCTTTTCTTCTGTGTACCATCAATGGTGCCGTTGCACTTAATCCTTCACTTCCATAAATCTTGAATAAATCCAGCATCAATTCCACCGCTCCATTCGCCCTCCCCCTCTCCCTGACTTTCACCGCTCCTTTCCTCCCTTGGTCTCCCTTCGAGCCTCTCATATGCACTTCTACATATCTTATCTGCCCTTAACCTCTCCGGTCCTTCTAGCTGCTTGTCGCCCTCGAAGAACGCCACGTCCCCTCTGGACAGACAGGCAGTACACGCCGTGGATTTTCCCATCCTTTTCCGCAAACAACTCCGACGCTCTCAACATCAGCAGATATGCACTCTTCCCCCTGCACCCCCACCGCCAACAATCTGCTGCATTGCACTCAACATTCCCCTTGTCAGAGGTCTCCTCACTCTTGCTTGTGTACCTTTCTCCACGTGCCCTCTCTTAGTACCTTGCGCTACCCCTTTGATGTACGGGTTACTCAACGGCAAAGACATGTTCTGAAACTGTTGATAAAAATTTACCGCCACGAGCTTCCCCATTGTCGTCGAATCCCTATTTCCTAGGAACGCACTACAGTAAGCCATGTACTCCGCCAGCTCCTCCACTATCTCCCCTTCCTCCGACCCCTTCGCAATCCATGGGCTCTTCTGCACTCCTTCCCTCCACCTTATCCACATGTTCCAAGCCCCGTGTAAAGTTTTTCTAGTCGACGCTGCAACTCTTCCA